CCGGCTTTCTCCGGTGCTGCTGGACACCCTGTCCGCTGGCCTCTGCACAAAAACAGGACTCATCAGCTCACCCAGACGCTCAGTGACAGCTTCACCTTCTCAAAGTTCTCAGGGCCATTCAGGAAATTGAGAGGGCAACTACAGCCCGCATTAAGACACAGAAAACAACCACCAAAATCCATGGCCCTGCTAGGCAGCTCTCACCATCTCCACAAAACCCTGCTCTCAGCACTGCACTCAGAAGGACCACGGCTGCTCCATCCACAATAACTACACAGCCATCGCCTCTGCCGCCTAAGTGGATCCACGTGGACTCTTAGGGCTACTCCACCTAATTGCACGAGCCGGGGGACGGGGCCACGGGGCTGGGGCGAGCCGGGAGGCGGGGCCGGGGCGAATGAGGGGGCGGGGCCGCGGCGAGCCGGGAGGCGGGGCCGGGGCGAGCCGGGAGGCGGGGCCGCGGCGAGCCGAGGAGGCGGGGCCGGGGCGAATGAGGGGGCGGGGCCGCGGCGAGCCGGGAGGCGGGGCCGGGGCGAATGAGGGGCGGGGCCGCGGCGAGCCGGGAGGCGGGGCCGGGCGAACTGAGGGGCGGGGCCGCGGCGAGCCGGGAGGCGGGGCCGCGGCGAGCCGGGAGGCGGGGCCGCGGCGAGCCGGGAGGCGGGGCCGGGGCGAGCCGGGAGGCGGGGCCGCGGCGAGCCGGGAGGCGGGGCCGCGGCGAGCCGGGAGGCGGGGCTCCCTAGGGAACAGCACTTTGGTGTTTTAGTCCATGGCCTCCTGCTGCCCTCCCTCCTGGAGACAGAGCATGACCCGTGCATTGCTCTCTTCCTTATTTCTCCCACACTCACAGTCCCAGGTCCTGCTCTTTTGGCCCCACTTTTCTTAGCAGAAAATCCCAGCCTGGATAAAATGCATTTGAAAACCCACCTGTGAATTCAATCAGCAGCTTTTCTTCCCGTTGCTTCCCAGATGTTCGCCCTAGTTGCTGGCTTTGTGAGAGGAGCGTGCTTTGGCACGGCACAGCCCGTGGGAGGGTTTCGGCGGCGCAGCCACCCCATCGCCACGGCGCCGCGAGACCCAGCGGGGTGGGGACGGGACGGGGCGGCACGGCAGCGGCGAGGCACAGGGAGAGGAAAGAGTAGACCGGGACCAGGACGGTGGGGGGGGCAGCGGAGCGACAGCGGGACGGGATGGGACGGAACGGGGGAAAAGGAGCCGAGCAGGAGCGGGATGGGAGGTGGGAGGGAGAGGAGCGGGAGGGGACATGTAAGAGAACCACGCGGAGTTCCCCACGCTCACCGAAATGAAATGGCCGCTTGTGAATGGAGCCATGTGCGGTCACCACGTGGAGCTTCCCAAGGAGAAAGGACAGGTTCCGGCGGCGAAGCCCCGCCCTTCCGCAAGGGAGTGGGGCGGCGACGGAAAAGAGGGGCGGGCGGCGCGGCGGCGGAGGATGGGAACGGCGGGGAGGGTGTGGCAGCGTAGGGAGACTGGGCGGGGAAGGACAGGAGCGGCGCGGAGCCGCGAGCAGGACGGGACGGGACGGGACGCGACGCGACGCGACGCGAGGTGGGAGCGGCAGCGGGAACGGAGCGGGACGGGAGGGGGGAAGAGGGGATCGACGCGGGACCGAACGGGATGGAAGCGGCCTCATGTTCCGGCGTCCTCCTCCTCACGGCTGTGCCGCGTCCCCGGAGGCGATCCGCCGGTACCTTCTCCAGCCAGGATTCTTCAGCCCGCGTGGTGGGGCCGCCGGTATCTTTAGTTAGCCTTCTGTAGCTTCTGTTGAGGGCGGTGCCGTCTTGTGTGTGAGCGTGATGACTCTCGGTGAGGGCGTCGCCATCTTGATTATGGGCCTTGGCGACTTCGGGGGTGGCATCGCCATCTTGAGTGTGGCCTCCAGAGTTTCCGGTCACGGAGCCGCCATCTTGAGTGTGGTGTCCGAGGACTTACGCTCCCCCCCCCCCACCCCAACCGCGTGCTCGCCGTAGGTCTTGGCGCTCAGTGCTGCCGTCTGCTGGGAAACCCCCGGAACTGCAGCTCGGCGGCACCGACACCGGCACCGCCCGCGGATGAACCCAGCGGGGCTGCCTGGCCTCGGAGCGCGGCTACGGGGGGGCTCGGGGGCCCGCCGCAGGGATCTGTTCCCCGCTGGCATTCTGGAGAAGGCGGCGCCACCGGGAGCTGCGGGACATGTTGGGGAAGTAATGGACGTTTTGGGGTAAAAACGAGGGCAATCGCTGGTAGAAAGACAGGGAAAAATCCCAGCCTGGATTCACTGAGAGAAGAGCATTTTAATTTGATAGAGATGGGCTTAATCTGTTACATTTATACCAAGTAAAATTGCCCATTTTTTTTTTCCTTTGGGCAGCTGGAAATGAAATAATCTCTGCTGCCTTGATAAAATAACTGGATTCTTGCCAATGCCTTTTGTTTTCTGGGAGTTACCTGCTATTACAGATTACCCCAGTCCAGCTGTGCTCTGACCTTGGAAAATGAACTTGAGGAATCAAATTGCTGTGCAAAAATTTAATTTTATTCTTTCCAGAATTCTTCATAGAAAAAACCTAAAATGAACTTTTTAGTTGGAGAGCTTATGGAACTTTAATATAAACACATCCCATTATGATTCTAATTATGGTCTTAGTGGATTTAATGGTGCCTTTTATGTGCCTTGTAGAGCATATTCTACAAAATTCAAGGTTTAAAATTTGTAAGTTCATCTGTGAAACATCCAGGATGCTACTATATTTAAAAGTTAAATTTTGAACATAAGGTAGAGAAGTCTGAGTGAGTACCAGTTCTTAACTATCAGGGTGTTGCAGGCCAGGGTTCATTTTGCTGGTAGAATTTTGTTTCATGTAAGCTCTGCTGAAAATCAGCTCCTTTTCTTCTGTTTGGCCCGACAAGGCTCTGTGGCCTGATCCTGCTTTTTTAAAAAGAGCAGCTTTGTTGCCTGATCTGTTTGTTGGCTGTTCCACGCCGGCCTTGAGCTTTGCTCATATGTTTACGTTCGTCTTTTCTACTCAGGGTGTGTTTTGTGAGGATAGAAGTGAAAAGCCTTAATAGAAATACAGTTTTTGTTGGATCTGAAATATAGGATGACTCTAAATGGATATGTACGAATAAGGGCAGGCAGCATCTTTTCCTGTAGCTCATCTGTCTTGTGGTTATGCTTTCAGAGATATAAATACCCAGAATTAGTATCTTGGTTTAGAAATGCCATGGAGTGCACCCAGATAAGGCAAGTGCACGAGATTCAAGGCCAGGGTGGATAGGGCTCTGAGCAACCTAGGCTGGTGGAAGTGCCATGGGCAGGGTGTGAAATGAGATGGTCTTTAAGGTCTGTTCCAACCCAAACCATTCTAGGATTCTGTGATTCCTAAATAAAAAGGTCCTTACACTGCCAGTGTATAACCAGTTATCTTCAGGACAGATTTTAAACAAGAACCATCACTTGTTTCAAAGGCCGTGTGGAAAAAAGCTTGGTATATTTGATATATGTATCCTTTGAGTTGTATTAAAGGGTAAAAAGAACTTCCACTCAGAAAACAAGCATTTTGAATTTATTGTGATAGGAAAGTGGGCAGCTTTTAATTTATTTTTAAAATTAAATTTATTTATTTAATTACTTTTAATTTTTAATTTGTTTTTCTCTCTGGGTATGCTCTGAGCTGTGTTTGTGCCTCACTCCTATTGCTAGAGAGAGAATTTGGTATCTAATTGAATTGAAATATTCTGAAGCACAATGGTTCCTTTTTTTATTCCTGTCTCCCATATAAATGCATATAAAATTTGGGTTTTGGCCACCAAAATAGTTGGTGTAAAGGCTAAAACTTCTTTTATGTGGAGAGAACTCACTCAGTGAAGAGGACCATAAATTCCTGTTGTTTTAGTGGTTCTGGATCTAGGGTTACCTCAATAAATAGTTACCAGTTTTATTAAACTGTTTTAGTACTATTTCTGAATTTTCAAGTACAGTCATGAAAAGGGGAAGAGATATCTGAAAGCGAAATTTGTTTTATCGTGTGCTTCGTAGAATGCATGATATGGAAGTTTTCTCGCTGTGCAAAACAAAATTATTTTAAAATAGGAAAATTGGGGATAAAAGGGAAAGGAAATGGCAGGGTTTAAATTGTGGATTTGTGGGTTTGAGTTGTGGGATCTTGATTGCTTTATGTGAGCCTGTCACAAACATTTTAGCAATATATACTTTTGCCAATAGAATGTTATAGTCAAACCTCTGTCCAGAATTGGAAATTCTGCAAGCTGGACGTGCTGGGATTCCTGGTGCTCTTTCGCCTGCTAATGAACAGCACTGGACCTAAATTCTGTTATTGGCTGTGCTTTTCACTGTAATTTGTGCTTGTGGATTGGCTGTTGGTATTGACTGTCTTTCAGTAAATGGAGTTGTACATTGCAGAGTTTTACCCTGGGAATGAAGATGAGGCAGTTTTACTGGGAAGGGGAAATGATTTAGAGAATTTCAGTGCACTTCTTCATGGCTTTTGTCCCTATTAGTTGTGGATTTTTAAGTTGTTATGTGTGTATCCAAGCATCTTTAAGTTCACGTGTGAGAATTACTCATTTTAAGCTGAAACCTTTTAAAACTTGTATAATGTGTAGTGATTTTTACAGGCTATAATAGAAGTGAATGTTGCTTTACTGGGAGTGGAAATTTGACATGTGCTTGACAGGAAAGTCCAACTTTATAAACCAAGTGTACACACTTGAAAAAGAATTGAATTTTGCAATAATATGCACAGTGTTATTTAAAATATGTAGGAATTTGTCCCTTATCTTAGCACAACTCTGATTAAGAAAATTCACAGCTTGTTCTTTGCCGCTTTACGAATTACTTACCATTTTTAACCCTAAGCATTTTTGATTGTGATCCTGTGCAGAGTGAAGATAAGAACAGGCAATTGCAGGAACGACTGGAACTGGCTGAGCAAAAGTTGCAGCAGACCCTGAGAAAAGCTGAGACTTTGCCAGAGGTGGAAGCTGAGCTGGCCCAGAGAGTTGCAGCACTTACGAAGGTGAGGCCCCTGGACAGTGTCCTCCAGACTCTGCTCTCCCATTGGTGTCCCACTGCACGAAATCTGGTCGTAGTGATGGCTTTGTTACAGTCCGGTTTTCCCACAGACAATTCAGAAAATATTTATCCTTGTTCTCTCTACTTTTTCCGTTCATCTCTCTGAAGATGCCCTTTTTGATTTTTATTTTAATTTTTTTGGTTTTTTTAATTTTTTCTCTTTGGAACTTGAGCGGGTTTTCTGTTAATTACATTACATTATGACAATGTCTCTCTGAAGTATTACTTTGGTGTTCTTTATTAAAATCAATTCAGTATTAGGCATAAAGTCCTTCTAAGCATGAACTATTTCTGAAGGGGAAACCCCAAATCCTTCCACTTATAAACAAGTGAAGAGTGTGAGGAGCAAGAGAAGTAATGATACTAATAAATATCAAGGTTTTTAGAGGGCTGCAAGTGAGCTAATGAAGTGTGAAGAATTATGTTTAATAACTACAAGTGAGCCTTTTCAAGTGTGTGCGTATGCTTTCTTTGAAAGTCTTAGTTTCATTTCTTTCCCTGTTATCTTTCCTGTCCCTAACTGGCTCTGTAGTCTGACCTTTTGTCTCCTGGGAGCTCTGCTGCTAAAGATGCAAAAGTGTTGGAACTTACCACCAAGCTTAGGAAGGTAGAATTTGTATCTTAGTCCTTGTTTCTGCTTGCTGCTTTCTGCTTTGTCATGGGTACTAATACAGAGTCACATCCTCCAGGCTAGTGAGGAAAAGCTGAAAATGCACTTAGTTTTTCTTTTCCTTTCTTTTTTTTTTAATTCTTCGGGATATGAATGAACTTCTGCTGTTGCAAGCTCATTTACAAAGAGCAGTGGATTCATGGTGAGAGGTTACCTCATTTTGCTACTCACATATGAACCCTTGCGAGGTTTTTGGTGACAGAAAAGCATCTGTTCTGCATTTTGTGTTACCATAAATGGAAGTTGTGCGAAGCATGTTAGAAATGTTACTGTGCTTCAATGTTTCTGTGCTTTTGAAACCTAAAAATCCACCCAAATTCTAATTTTGCTTTCAAATTGACAGGCTGAGGAGAGACATGGCAACACTGAGGAACGACTGAGGCAGATGGAAGCACAGCTAGAGGAGAAGAATCAAGAGCTGCAAAGGGTATCGTACATAATTTTGACGAAGATATAAAGCTGAAAGAAAGAATCCAATCCCCTTCATGGCTGCTACCATTCAGCAAAGCTGTTTTTATTTCTCTCTTCAAAAGAAAGCCAGAGCTTGGGCTGGCTGATATTTGGGAGATTTGAGTCACTGTACTATGTCTCACCTTAAATCTCAAGGGAAAGCTGAAAGTCTGCAATGCAAGTTTGAAAATAGAAAATATCTGATTATTATTACTATTCTTATACTCAGTATATATTCATACTCAATAAAATATATTAAATATTGCTAGTAATATTTAATAAATAATATTAATAAATAATTTTAATTATTTATTATATAAAATATTTTATAAATCTTTTTAGAAATAAAAATTTATTATATAAAAATAATTAATAAATAATAATAAAATTTGCTGTTACTATTCATACTTTCTGATGAAGAGACAGATCAAAAACGTGCTGAATTAAAGGACTATAGAAAAATTGGTTCCTGGGTTATAAATAATGGAATTCGTTCTGAATCCGGTTTGTTTGTTTTTTTAATGTAGACTCAGATTTTCAAACTTCTGATTTTGGATCAGTTATTACACTCTGCAGTGTCCCTTATACTCCATCACAGAGTCCTGGAGGTGCATGCAGTATTCCTCTCTGGAAAAAATATTGCTGTTAAAGAAAGCTTACTGCCTTTATAACCTGAAAATTGTTATAGACATTGAAAATTTGAAGTTATTTCAGTAGCTTTTCTGTGTCTTAGGCTAGACAGAGAGAGAAGATGAATGAAGAGCATAATAAACGTTTATCAGAAACTGTTGATAAGCTGCTGTCTGAATCCAATGAAAGGCTCCAGCTTCATCTCAAGGAAAGGATGGCTGCCCTGGAAGATAAGGTAACAAGTCACCTTCCAGCACATACATGAATTAGAATGGTCAGAATTCTGTGATTTGTGCAGTTTGCACACATCTGTAACTTTAGTAAATAAATATGAAATCCTTATTAATAAATAGTTTCTCTTAAGGCTGTTTTTTAATGTGGATTTTGAAAATATGTACCAAAAATTCAGGTTTTTTGAGGCTGTCCTTGGGCATTGCACTGCAGTGCTGAGAAGGCATTTTTTAGTTTTCAATAGCTTTATGCTTTTCTAGTTGATTGGTGTGGATTGCCTAAGTAGGCTCATCCAGTGTAATACAGGAAGCCTGAAGAATTAGGACTAGAACTTTGGCCTTTTCAGTTCAGTTTCTTTTGTTTCCCACTGCTCTTGGCTGTACCAGTTCCCCTGAGTCCTTGTGGGATTCTTGCAAGTTAAAACAACCTTGTGTTTTCTTCCCAGGTAGATAATTTTGGGGCTCATTATGTGAATGTAACTGGGCTGTTCTGTGCATTGTTAATACACCTCTTGGAACTTTCCCCAGCATTCAACTCTTTACGGTTTTTCTTTCCTTTCTGCTTTTGGATGTAGTTCCTTCTGGATTTTTCTTCCATGCATGCCTTTAAGTTAAATTCCCTTACTCTACGTCCAACAAAGCAAGGTCTTCAAAAGTGGCACTTTGCTTGGTGCTGATTTAGGATTGCTTTGTCTTGGATTAAAAAAATATTTGGTTTCCTTTGTTACAGAGTGAAATGACCATCTGGGGAAAATGTTTCAGTAAAAACTGTGTGAATTTTTCTTTTAAAGTCAATAAAACACTTCAATGTGTAGAATGATGTTTTCAGACTTTTACTAAGTGTTTGCTTCCTCTTGCATTTATTTCAACTCAATTCTCATCCCTAAACCAACAGTCGGGTGTCAGATGACACATCTTTGCATCATTCCAGGACTCTGCTCCTCTCAGATCATTACAGGCATTTAGTTCATTTCTTGCCCTCCTTTTATACTCTCAGAGCTGGGAGGAATTGAGTGGTGCAGAAGGAACATAGGTCCTACTTTTGTCGTTTGAGTTGATGATAAAGGTGCTTATCTGGCATCTAAGGCTGCAAATTTGCCTTGTGTTTCTTAGTTAACATCACTATTTTCAACATTACCAACTGCTTCAGAAATTCTAGTTATGGGGCATGTTATGATATCAACAGTCATAACAGTCTTTTTGAATTCAATTTCGAAGAAACAGATGACTGCATTGTTTTTTTGAAATGCTTGCATACTGGGGGGTGTTTTAGGGCTGGCCCAAACTCCCTCCTGTCTTCCATAACTTCTTTCACAAGTAATGAGGAAAATCTACTTGTTCTTTACTCTAAGTACCAGCTTTTAGAGAAGTATTCTTGTGGAGGCTTCCAGCTCATTCTTTTATGATAACTTAGAAAGAAATGTGCAGGTAACATTTTGAGACTTTGTTCCGATAACTTGGTCTTTTTCCCAGAGTGATTTATTTTTCCACATACGAGATTGTAGTTCATCTTAAACATGTAATAAAGGTATTAACAACCTCAAGAAATTGTTAATCAGAACTTTTTGGCTGTGGTAGAAAAGGAGAAGAAAGCCAGTTACGAGTTTCCTATCAGCAGGGGGAATCTCTAATTTAAAACAGCTCTGATGTTAAGGAAAGCCCTTAATTCAGTGAGGGTTGCAGTTCTGAAAGCACAGTACATCCAAGAAATTACTGTGTAGGAATTTTTTTAGGTCAAACAAGTGCAAATAGAATGAAAACTTAAGGATAATGGCTGCTAATTCCTCTCCATAACCACTCAGTGAATTACTTTAAATTATTTTAGCTGCCTAATTATTCCTTTTGTTTTATTATTTTTTACTAGTCAGATGTTTTCAAATGCAGTTTTAAAAGGTTGCTATTGCTATTAAAAATTTATGGAACCAGTACTATTACTAAATCCATTATTTAGAGGGCTGTACACCTGGAAGGATAAACCTTCAGCTATAATCAAAGTGACAGAATGGAAGCAGCTGGACACAAAATACCTGGATTCTCTACAAAGTAGAGCAATGTTCTCAGAGACGTGTTTTGTTTTCTACTGAATTAACACACATTTGGACCAAAAGTTAAGAGGCTGTTCTTTACTCCCGCTGCAAACTGACTCAGAGAATTTATTCCTCCTATTCAAGAACATTAAGCAGCCTCCCCCACCAATCACACGAAAGGAATGGGCGAAAAAGTCAGGATTAATTATCTTCACTTTTGTTCCCCGGCCCATTATATACTTTCCCCATTAGAGAATGGGGAAAGAATTAGAGCAGAATTAGAACAATGGTTTGTAGGCAGAAGAGCACCAAAACCACATCTTCGGAGTCCATCTCTATCCTTAACAGCCGGACTCTCACACAGTGCTTACACTTTAAGGAATCAGAATTTCTGATAAAACCCCTTAAACCAGAGCTCCTGACCAGATCCCACTCACCACCTTTATTTCTCCAGGGACATGAAATAGCCAGGATAACCTTTTGGTGACACCTAATATAACTTCCAAGAGTCTGATTAAATGAGGCAGAAACTAGATGCATGACTGGTTTAGAGTTTATACCTTGGCAAGATCTCACACTATTCCCTTCTAACAAGCTAATTCATTTCCGCTAAATAAAATACTATAAAAATACAGGGTTCTGAGGAGGAACTGTAAGAGAACTTCTCTTTTTCACAGGCAAGTGCACAGATTATTTAGTAAAGGAACCAACTAAAATAAACAACTCCAGGAACCCAACATCACAAAGCAAAACTGGCTTAAAACTTGTTCTGTACATTTTATGACCAGCATTAATGTTTCCCAAAGGAAATGATGGGTTGTATTGTTGGCCTTAGTCCCTTCAAGGTCCAAAAGCCCCCAAAGTCCCTGAACAGGAAACGGATCGCTGTCAGGGTTGTTTTCAAGAAGCAAATTTGTGCTTAGTGGTTCTGTTTGTCTGCGGAGTTTTGTCATTGTTTATCAGTCACAGCACCCACAGGAGATGAGGAGGATGACGCTTACTTCCTCGTGGCCAGGAGATTCAGTATTTCCTGAGTCAGGGGTTAAACTCCTCACAGACACAGGACACCCGGTAGGTTCTGTCACCCTAAAGCACTTACAGGCTGAACAAAACTGATTCGTGTGGCCCACTGAGGGGGACCTGAAGGACAACGCAACGGTCTGAACTTCGAGCAGACTATGTACATAAAATGTGATGGCAACTTACCTTGCCAAACCCAAACAAATTCCTCAGTTTAGGCCAGTGATCAAACGGCAATATGACCACGTCTTTCGGCACTCTGGTGCCTGAGTAATGTCCCCTGGAATCCTGACGCCAAAAGTAGCACAGTGCAGGGATTTTTAAAGAAATACAAGTTGAAGTAAAAGGAAGTAGTGACAAACAGCAGCTAATGCTTATATTTGTGAAGGTTACCTTTTGACATCGCAACTACACCCTCCCACAGGCCTTTGGAACTATTCAACTGCACCCACAGAAGAAGTCCACCTCATCTAGGATTCTCTAACCAAAGAAGTTGCTGCATCATTATTATGTTCAACAGGATAGTTGTGAGTGCACATGTGAGTGCATTTATGTTTCGGTTGCGTGCATGTACATTTACAAACACACACGCAGCCTGAAAACCACCCCAATTTTATAAATCTTCCAATTAAGTGAAATGTTTTGAAAACACTCTCATAGATTACATATTGTTACATCATCTACCAAAAACCAAGAAAAAAAGAGCTGGGAATGTGCAGCTCTGCATTTATTAACAGAACAGAACTGCATTTCATGTGTTGAATGTTCATCCCTAAATCTGGTGTCCGATTCTTCCGTAACAAATTGACACCACCTGACTTATGCGCTTGTTACAGCCTGTATTTGCACAAAACAATTTGTTTCGTCTGTTGCCCTGGCAGTAAAAGCAGTAAAAGCGCCACACCAAAGACACCGCTGCCGTGACCGGAATGTCGCGAGACCAACACAAAAGATGGCGGTGCGAGGCCCCCACATCCCCTCCGCCTCAGAGAGGCGTCTATCCTGTTGCCTGACCTCCACCTCCTCCCCGAGCCCCACCCCGCGCTCGCAGCGCCGTCTCGCCGAGGTGCTTCCCGCTATCTCCCCTCTCGTTCCGCCCTTTCGTTCCACGTGATATTTGGCTTCCTTAGAGCAAGTGCGCATGCGTGCCCTCCTTTCCTGAAGTACCGCCTTCAGTCACGAGGGCTCATCCGAGTCACCGCGCACGCGCATTACCTCGAGCTCACCACCAGGCAGCGGCAGTGATTCCCGCCCCTTTCGATTTTTTTTACTTTATTTTTTTATTCTGTGTATTTTTTAATTTTATTTTTTATTGTATGCTTTTATTTTCTAACATATTTTTATTTTATTTTTGTTTTTCTTTTGAATTTCCTTTTATTTTAATTTTTTATTTATTTTGATTGTATCCATTTTATTTTTAGGGGTTTTTTGATTTATTATTTTCCTTAAAGGCTTCGTGAGGTGGCTCCTCATTATCCTTTAATTTAGGAACAGCTCCCAGATGTAGGTGCCAGGCTCACACCTCAATTTATTCTCCAGCAGCCCCTGCCTGCTCAGGGCTCCCAGCCCATGTCAGTTCCAGGGAGGAATTGCATTCTGGACTTGGGTTTGTAAAGACACCCAACACAGGAACAGCTGAGTACGCTGAAGCCTGAGCAGAGGGGGATGGTTTTATGACAATATCTCTTAAAAATAACACCAGAATGGGAGCAGCTAAAGTGGTCCCAGTTGTCTTTCCAAAGTGAAGACTGAAGGACTGAGAAACAGAAATAAAAATTACTTCATGGATTTTCTCTGGCCCCAAGCTTGTAAAAACGAAAAATGAGGGGCTTTCCCCCCTGCCACCTTTGCTGTTCAGCAGCCCCAGCCAGAGGCCAAGGACAGCCCCAAAACCTCTTCCTGTTCTGATGTAACTGGCGAGTTGCTCATCTGTTTCTTCAGCACCTTTCCAATTGCAAAAGTTAATATATTACTACAATGGCCACATTTCGTCCCTGGCTACATCCTAAAACAGAACACTGCTACTGTTTCCACACAACAGTTACAAGGATGCAGCTTTGGCCTCGAAAGGAACAGAGAAGGCTCTGCTACCTCACACACAGAGTCGTGTTACTCTTTCCCAGCCCCCTGCTCTCTCTCATCTCCATCGACTCCTGCAGCTCTGCAGAGATCCCAGTCACACAGAGCTCAAACACACTGTGACAACCTGCCATAAAGCAGCCAAAATTTCTAAACAGCTGATGAAACTACTAAGGGAGGGGAGGGAAATATCCTTTCTCTTCCATGCAGAGAAGTCAACAGGAATTCAGCAACTTGCCAGAAAAGCAAAGATCCCACGTGAAAATCAACACTTTGCATCTCCCCACCTTAGCACAGCCTCCCCTGAGCAGAGTCAGAGTCTGAGGGACAGGAGGATGTGAGCACCATTGTTTATTTGAAGGAGTCCTGGGAAGAGGCACCCGCTGCTCCCAGTCGGAGCCATGGCAGTAACAAAGCAGTCCCCTGGCGAGTGAGGGGCCAGCTCCCAGCACAGGTCACCCCAAAGCACCACGCCCTCCCTCCTCCTTGAGCAAAGGGGGACAACTCCATCCCCTGGGGAAACCTGGAAGGGAGGCACAAGGCATGCAGGAATCTTCACAAAAAGCCATTCCTGAGGTACTAAAGCAGTCAAGAGGAAATCCAGGGATGCTGTGAGGTCAGTGTGCACATGCTGCTTCAAGGTGGAATACGGCTGCGTCCTTCTACTTTTGCAGAATTCAGGCCTTGCAAAGAAAGGTCTTGCTGTTATCTCTCCAACCCTTGTTTGCCTCTCGATAATGATCCCAAAGCTTGCATTCCACACACTAGCCAGCAATTAGCCCAATTTATTACAATATAAATCTACCTGGGAACAAAAGGAAAAGAAAAATCCACTCCCACGCACTAAGGTCTGACAGAGGGTATTTTTTCCTGTGATTCCTCCTCCACTTATTTAAAGTTTTAAAAAATAAAATCAAGAAGCAGAACAATCCTTCATGATAAGATTAAGGTCCTTGATGTGTGACTCTGTTTCAGCGTGCCCAAAAACTGTCGAGCTTTCTCCTGCATGAAGAGTTG